TCCTTGCCCTCGACTGGTGCATAGCGTTTTAGGGAAATGAGACTGAACCAACTCGCAACAGTGTCATAGTATAATAATACAGACATGGATAAGGCACTGCTGATCTGATTCTTAGCTTTGCTTCGACCCCCATTTCCAGCAGCCTCTCTGAATCCCTGCCAGTTGACTGCTCTTTGCAGCAGTGCCCCCTCCCCAGTATAAACATGGAAACTACAAGCCTTCATTCACTGTAGCCTAAGAAGTGTCTGTCTGTGTTAGCCTTTTCCTCCCTAAGTCAATGCTGAATAAATCCCCCACCCTCTCCTCCTCTACACACACACAGCCTATGTCCAAGGCAGTGGGTTTTGCACCGGAGGGCACGTTTGGCAAGGTCTGGAAACACTGGGGTGGGTGGGGATCACGGCTGGGGTCGGGATAGCTACTGGCATCTGGGGAGGGAGGTCAGAGATGCTGCTAAACATCTCCCACCACACAGCCCAGCCTGTCCCCCCAACCCCTGCCCCACAGAAATCCTGGTCTAAGGTAGTCTGTCCAGCTTCAACCCGGCCAGCTGAAGAGTAATAAAATCAATTCCACATCTATTATGACTTTGGTCTTAGTACTTAGTTTCACTCATGTTTCTTACTTAGTGAGTTACTCTGACATGAGTTGGTGGAGGCACAGCATTGCGTGCTGCCAGCTGGTTAAAGCAGGTGTCGCGTGTTCCCAGAATCCTGAGCCTCGCACCGAGCACGGGTCACGGCAGAGGCAAGCAGTCATCAGAGGGCATGGGGATAATAATGACGGACTTCTGGAAAAAGCAAACTGACCCAAGGACTGAGCCCGGGAGCACTCAACACATGGAGAAGGGACGATAAGGAAGAACCAGCAGAGAAGCCTGAGGAGGAATGATCAGACCCGAAGACTAGAAGGCACACCAAGAGAGAGGGGAGCCCCAGAGAGAAAGCGAAACAAGGATTTCGAGAGTGTCTAAGGCCGCTGAGAGTCAACCAAACATACAGTGGAGTTTAACACTGAGATCACTGGAGACCCGGACAAGAGCTTGTGTGGAGTGGAGGGACAAGTGATGTGAGGGGGTTCAGTAGAGGATGAAAAGAAAGAAAACAGAGACGTAGGGTATATACTCTCTTTTGAGGAATTCTGCTATAAGGGGAAACAGAGAAATGGGGCTCTAGCGAGAAGGGGGTTGTGAGATTAAGAGGTGTGTGTGTTTGCATGTAGATGGGAGATATTATAACATGGTCCATGCTAATGGGAATGCTCCACTACAGAGGAAAATATCAGTGATGCAGGAGTGAAAGGGGACACTTTGCTTGAACAATATTTTTGAGTTAGTGAGAAGGGACAGGGCTTAGAGCACAAAGTTGGCCTAAGATGGCAGCATGGACAGTTCATCCATAGTGTATCTATTGCTGTGTAACAAATTGCCCCAAAATTTAGTGGCTTAAAACAACATGAAAACCCACATTTATTATTTTACAATTTCCTAGGAACTTAACAGCATCTAGGCTGAGTGGTTCTGGCTCAAGATGCCTCATTAGGTTGTAGTCAAGATGGTGACCAAGGCTGTAGTCATGGGAAGGTTTGACTGGGGGCTGAAGAGCTGCTTCCAATATGATTCACTCATATGACCAGCAAGTTCATGTTGGCTGTTGACAGGAAGCCTCGATTCTTCACCAGATGGACCTCTCCATAGGGCTGCTTGAGTATACTCATAAGATGGCAGTGATCCAAGTAAGAACAAGGCAGAAGCCTGAATGTTATTTTATAATCTAGTTTGGAAGTTACACATTCTCAGGGTCTCCTTATTCTGCTTATTAGAAATGAGTCATTAAGTCCTAGCCAAGGGGAGGGAATTTAGATTCCACTTTTTGAAAATTCTTTGAATGTCAAAGAATTTGTGGATATATTTTTAAACCACCACATATGGTAACAGGAAGGAAGCCGGCAGATGCGGGCATGGATGTAGTGAGGGGGAATTGGTAGATGTTCTTTTCTGAGCACTTCTGTGTTTTTATTGAAATGGTAAGCAAGGAATCAGCTGAGAGTGGGCTTGGGGAGAAGGGCTGGGAAGTTGGAGGAGAGACAGAATATAGGATACAGGAAACAGTTGATGAGATCAGGAGAGTGAATGGACTGGTAGGACTTCCAGGTGAACTAAGTGTCCCTCTAGGGGAGTGATCATGAATTTGAAGGATAGCCACTGAGCAGTTTGGGTGTCTTTCTCCAACCAGGGAAATCTGAAGATGTACTGTGAGAAAAGAAACCCTGATCTCCAGGATGTAAGACCATGGTTTTTTTTCCCCCCCTTTTTATTTAAATGCTAATTATACACTTATTTTTTTTTTTAAATAACTTGTTTGTATTAATAAACAACATACTTGTTTGCTTCTCTCTACAATTTCTTTCATTCTTTCTGGTTTTCCAAAATTAACCAAATGCAGGATTTCTCCTCCCTAATTTAACACGAGCAAATGCATGTAGGTGTGAATCAGAGTCTCCCTGTGCCCAGAGCTGGTCAGGCCCCACAGCAAATAGTTTTCAGGATGGACTCAGCATTTTAAGAGAGTTTAAGTCTATACTTGATAAACTGGGACGTCTCAAGAAGAAAGTAGCCAGCATGGCAAGGTTTCTTCATCTCCTCATGGGGAAATGATAGAAGGAGCTGAAATGTCTTGGAAGATACTCAGTCACTGTCTTCAAGCACCTGAAAGATGGTGCAGGGCTGCTGTCTCTAGCTATGCTTCAGTTTCTCAAAGATGTCTCTCCCTGGAGGGGTCCTCAGGGGTGACCATCCAGGGACAGGGTGCTCATCACAGGTCGATGAACGGAGGGCGTCACTTCTGACATTCATCCAGAGGTGCTTTTCTGAGGGTATCAGGCCACTCTCCCCAGTGGGATATAACTCAGCTCCCTCCTTAATGGGACAGATGGTGGGAAGTTGTGCAGGGGGAGGTTGGGGCAGTGGGAGGGGAGGTGAAGGCCCATCTCAGGGCATGCTCTAGCTACACCAGATTGAAGGTGGAGGACACTAAAAGCCCCTCATCTTCCTGTTCACATGCCGCCTTCACTTGCAGACCTCCGGCATGGGTGCCGTGTGGCAAAGGCTATGTGGTTACATCATACCGCTGAGGGCCAAACAGGAACCAACGGTAGAAATCCCAGCAGGACAGATTTCTGTTTTTGTGAGGAAAACGTCCCAGGAGGCGGAAACACTTAAATGTGAAAACGAGTCCCTACAAGCCGTGAGCTCACTCCCCCTTTCAGGAAGCATCCGCCAGGCTCCTTTGGAAAGAAAGCCTGCACCAGGTGGGAGGTCAGACGGGCTGACTTCACTTCCAAGGCCGCCTCCAACTCTCCAAGGCTGTGATCTGGTCACCTGGGGTCTTCTCATTGAACAAATGTTTGTTGAGCTCCTGTGGTGTGATGCCCTGTGCACTGAACACCTCTTGTACTGCACTTCGGGCGTCCTCAGACTCACCTCTCGCGCGACCACAGCTGCGGTAGTCGGGTTTCTGCAGACTGCTGTGGGCTATTTGATATTCATAAAGTCCTTCAGAGGTACCTCTGTCGGATCATCTCGGGTGAAATTTTACATGACAAACTAGCATTGCCGCTTATAGTTCATCATCAGGGACCCTGAGCCACAGAGACGCAAACCAACTGGTTGAAGCCTGTATTTATTTGGTGGGGAATTGGACTTAAGAAATTGAGAATTAAGTTTTCTAGAGTGCTTCTCAGCTCAGAGGGTCTGATGTGAGGTTTGTGAGTTGTTTTAAATTCTTTCTTTATATACTTTCTTGAGGGGTATTTTCAGTATGTGGGTTTTTGTTTTGCTTTGTTTTGTTTTGAAGTAGGCTCCATGCCCAGTGTGGAGCCCAACGCAGGGTCTGAACTCACGATCCTGAGATCCAGAACTGAGATGAGATGAGATCAAGTGTCAGATGCTTAACCGACTGAGCCACCCAGGTGCCCCCAATATTTGATACTAATTTGTTGGTTTGGAAGTTTTTGTTTGGATCAAATGTAGTGTTACTAAGTTTCTCATAAAATATAACTTTTTGTAATTTGATTTTTTGATATGTAACATATTCACACAATTCAAGCTTTCCTCTCTTGCCCTGCAGCTCACAGTCTCCTCATGATGTAACCAATTACTAGTTTATTTATTCTTCCAGAGGACTTTTATGCATACTCAAGCCAATACACACACATGTATTTTTCTTCCTGTTTTTTTTTTTTTTTTAAAGATTTTATTTATTTATTTGAGAGAGAGAGAATGAGAGAGAGCATGAGAGGGGAGAGGTCAGAGGGAGAAGCAGACTCCCTGCCGAGCAGGGAGCCCGATGCAGGGACTCGATCCAGGGACTCCAGGATCACGACCTGAGCCGAAGACAGTCGCTTAACCAACTGAGCCACCCAGGTGCCCCTTCTTCCTGTTTTAAGAGTATTTTTATACACAATAACATACTCTGTATGTTTTATGCATCTTGCTTCTTTCTCTTAACATATCTTTGAGATCTTTTCATCCCAGCATATAAATAAATTCATCATTCATTTTATAGTTGTATAGAATTCCATCGTATGTACACCGCAACAAGCAATTTCATACAAGTGTCACATATATGTGGGCAAGTATATCTATAGAATAAATTTTCGAGAAGAGGAAATGCTGCATCAAAAGTCACATGCCTGTGTAGTTTTGGTTTTTTTTTAAGATTTTATTTATCCATTTGAGAGAGAGAGAGCACAAACAGGGTGAGGGGCAGAGAAAGAAGCAGATTCCCCATTGAGCAGGAAGCCCGATGCGGGGCTCGATCCCAGGACTCCGGGACCACGACCTGAGCCGAAGGCAGACGCTTAACCGACTGAGCCACCCAGGTGCCCTGCATTTGTAGTTTTGAGATACATTGACATACTGCCCTCCACTGGCCTTGTAGCGTCATCCACAATGTATCAGAGTGCCTATTTAGGCACTAAAATAATTTTTTTACTTTCTAAAAATTAATAAATGACTTTGGATGCTTTTTAATGAAGGTTAAGTGAGTGAGATCAACCTTTATCTACTTGAAACATATTTTCAAGGAAGAAAAACTGGAATCACTATTACTCTAAAACAGGTCTACAAGAGAACATTTTATGACATGAGCCCTGAGGTTCAATTTCTATTCCCATCACCCATAGGTTCAGGGGTTTCTTTTCCAAAGACTGAATGTTCAGGCTTCTAATATCTCTTTTTTCTTCCCTTGTGAATCAGTTAAGTGAGTTTCTCAGCTCCCCTGACTGCCAGGAAGGGAGGTTCTCTCTGTTGCACATCACAGTGGGTTGTGATGATCATATGCAACAAGCCCTGTCCTTTTCTCTCTCTCTCTCCTAGTCCGCTCCTTGAACTGATTTCTTTCTCCTGGGACTTTGTCTCTGCCTGGGCACATTCCTATCAGTAACCAGTCCCTTTGCCAATTCTTTCTCATTTTATTCTCATAATTAGCAGACTCTTGAAGCTGCTTTAACCTGCATTCCCTATTGCTCTAAAGAGTTCTAACCCTGCTCATGTCATTTATCTGATGTCGAATTTTGCAAGTCAACCTAGCAGTTCTTGCTGAATAGAGATTTTAGTACAGTTGACCCTTGAACAACACGGGTTTGAACCATGTGGGTTCATTTACACGTGGATTTTTTTTATAAAGAGTACAGTACTATAGGTGGATTTTCTCTTATGATTTTCCTAATAACTTTTTAAAGTTTAATTTGTTGTAAGAATACAATGTATAGTACCTATAACATACAAAATATGTGCTAATCGACTGTTTATGTTACCAGTAAGGCTTCCGGTCAACAGTAGGCTATTAGTATTCAGTTTTGGGGGGAGTCAAAACTATATATACTTTCAACTGCACAGGAGGTCAGTGCCCCTAACCCCCATGTTGTTCAAGGGTCAACTGTGTATCTCAACAACCATATTTACATCTGGTCATTCTTTCCCCAACCAGGAGTAATATACATACTTCTTCAGAAGGGGGCTCACTCCTTCCAAGGGAGTATGGGCTTATAGTGGTTGGTGCCCAAGGACAGGAGCCCCACAGAACTAACTGGGGTGACAAGCCTTTTGGACTTTGGAATTTACTAGCAGGAGCTGCTACTTTTGTAGAGCAATGGTCATTTGCCAGGCACTTCACGTTCACTAGCTCATTTAACCCTGATCATAAACTCATGAAGAAGCTACTGTTAATAATCCTATTTTACAGATAGGGAATCGGAGGCTTACAAAGTTTAAGTTACTTACCTAAGGTCACAGCTCACACCGAGCCCAAACTCAACATCCAGTCCCACCCCACTGCTGGGGACTCACGGGGAGACTTTGAACATGCATCAGAAGTTTCTTACTCCCTCACCTTCTCAATATCCTTTGTCCTTTCCACATTTGGTTTTAAAAAAACCCTCATAATTTCTCTTTCTTCCTTTGTTTTTAAATAACTATCATACTGTTCTTTGTAGTAGGAAATATAAAGGAACAAGCAATCAGCACTTGCCTTGATTGATGCTCAACTTCCTCTTTCGCATTCTCACCGCCATGTCTCACAGGCTCAGTTACAAAACCCACTTCCAAACTTGTGGGGAGATCGGAGAAGTACATGCTGAAACCTAAAGGCAAAGGAAGAACAAAGAGTAAGTCATACCTTTCTGATGCACACTGCTGGATTCCACAAATGTCTACTGATCTCTAGCCCCATGCCAGATAGGTAATTGCATGCATCCTTATTCTAAGGAATTTTTAAAAACCTACTGAAGTTGGGGGGAGATAGTCATTATGAGTGACTATGACAGAAGGCACAATGAAAACAAGTGTTTACATCTTGCAAAGCTCTTTGTCACCCTGCATTGTGTCTCTTATGCCTAGAATTCCATAGTCAACCTTATTCAAAGTAAGATTTCCCTTTAAACAGGAAGAACTTGTGAAGAAAGGAAACATACAAAATTGGGTTCCGAATTATTTGCTAGTGGATTCTTTGCAACTTTGACTGCATTTACTTCTCTTGAGTAAATCAGGGTGAGATGTAGAAAGATTAATGAAGGATGCCAACTAAAGTATATTGCCTTCTCCACTATCTTTTTTTTTTAATTCTTATGTTATGTTAATCACCATACATTACATCATTAGTTTTTGATGTAGTGTTCCATGATTCCACTACCTTTAAAATAAAACTATGAGGGCAATATCATGCAAATAAAAGACTATAAAGGTGTCTATGAAAGAATAAAGTTCATCTCCACCAAGGAATCTTAACACTTTATAGTCACACGTATTAAAGCTTAGGAGCTAGTTCTCTAAGCCATAAGCCCTCTGCCTCCCAAAATAAAATAAACAAAAGCCTGAGAAATTCTGTCACCACTTCCTTGTAATATATCCTGAGATAAGGAGAAAAGATGGGTGAGAATGAAAGCTATCAAATGATGCCCCCAAACTCCAAGTCATCCTGTTAAGCAGACCATAATTAGGTAAGCCTGCCGACAGGTAGGCAAAAGCTGAGCGTGGTCCAGCTAGAAGCCAAACAGGGGAAGCCCCAAACACAAAGGTCATGAATTAGTCTGACTTTAAAATTGTACATTGTTTAATCATAGGGTTCCAACAGTTAAATTCAGTCAACCAGAAAAAGCCCTTAAGGATCTAAGTACATTGCTGTAATGACACTGAACCACATCTAGGAACACACGTCCCCCCCATCTGCTGCTTAGGTATCCTGTGCTGTCCGCGGAAACCCCAAGATGGCATTCTTGCCTTATTTTTCTAAATGACTCCTTTGATTAAAAAACAAAACCCTCTGAAATCCTCACAAGGTTGGGTGACTAGATTTGGCGGGGAGAGGGGGGAAATGACATTCTAGTATTTAATCATCAGTGTTGAGTGGGTCGCAAAGGCAGTTGCCTACTGGCTATGATTTTAGGTATGCTATAGGAAAAGCTCCTAGTTCACAAAGCTCTCTGCTTGCTGGTTATCATGCTGCGTGCAATGGGATTTTGAGCCCCTCTTTCTACGTGTTATCACTTAGGTTAGAAGGAGGCCCCGCAGTTGGCATTTTGGAGTGGTAGCACAGTAAGTCATTATCAGACACAGATAAGAAAACAGGGGTGGGGGGGGAGTCTAATTATCTGGCAGGGACCTGAAGGAAGAGGCTGTAGAAAAGATAAACTTTTGCTGAACCGGAGATGGAGGGGGGAAATAATCATTGGTGACTTCTTAATTTGATTTTATAGGTTAGAGCTTCTGTTCACCTGTTAGCTTATTTTAATCTTCCCAACAATCCTGCACAGGGCAGCAATGTCAATCCCCAGTCCCAGTCCATACACAGTGCAGTTCAGGGAGATGCCCTAAATAGTCTTAACGCTGTGCAGAATAACCCGAAGCAGTTAGGCCATGGGGATGATGTGGGAGAGAGTCAGAATGAGAGTCACCTCCTCTCCCTTGTGTGTGTGGCCCTTTCCTCCCAGTCAGCTGCTTCTCATTGACATTTAAACATACTCAAACCTCTGCCATCACTTGTTCTGCTGTGAAATCCAACATGCTAGTTTCAGTCTCAGTTCTCTTGATCCCTAAGGAGAAACTATGCTATTGATCATTCTCTTCTTCTTCAAACACTTCCCCTCCCCCCCCAATGCTGAGATTCTTCCTTGGTTTTCCTCCTAGCTTCTGGCCACCCCATTTCAAGTCTTCCGTGCAGGCTTATTTGCCTCTACCCCATCAGCACACAGACAAGCTCCTCCTGGTCTCTCCTAGTTCTTCTGTCCTTTCCCCTGACCTCACACCATACACCTCCATTGTGGTAACTGCCAGGGACTTGCAAATTTAAATCTGCAGCCATGACCTCTCATGAGAGCTCCAGGCCTACTGGACGACATCTTTATTGCCATCTCAAAGGCACCTTAAATTCAGCATGTCCTGCTCCCAGACTCAAACCGGTCCTCTCAGGTTTCCTAATGAGGTGAATGGTGCCAGCATCCGAAATGCTGTTTAAGCCAGAGACCTCAGACTCGTCCTGGACCTTTTTCTTTTCCTCTCCACTATAGCCACCCATCATCAAGTCTTCTCAGTTTTATCAAAATATCTCTCAAATGTGCCCACTTTCCATCTCTGCCACTGCTGCTACATTAAACCTAAGCCACCACCATTCTCCCTAAACACTCTGGTTTCTGCTTCATCTCCACAATGAAATTAGAGTAATTTTTTTTCAGAACCTGAATCTGCTCTTTGCTTGTTTAAAAACATGGCACTGCCTCTCTCTTGCCCTTGTGATGCGGATCAAAATCCTTAGCATGTTTTAACAGGGTCCTGTGTGGTTTGAGCCCTGCTACCCCTCTAGCCTCATCTTACATCTTCAGCCCTGTCCCCAACCTAAACTTGCCCTATGTATTTCAGTTGATTTCACTGTCTCTTGCTCCCAGGTCCCCACCTGTATCTTTTCATCAATCAGATACCAGATCAAGGGTTATCTTAGGGCTAGGCTCCCCTGACCCCCTCCTCTCTCCCTCCAAAGTCAAATTCCTTTGGTATTACCCACTTTCTTTTTTTTTTTTATTATGTTATGTTAATCACCATACATTACGTCATTAGTTTTTGACGTAGTGTTCCATGATTCATTGTTTGCATATAACACCCAGTGCTCCATTCAGTACGTGCCCTCTTTAATACCCAACGCCAGGACACAGATCAATGGAACAGAATAGAGAGCTCAGAAATGGACCTTCAACTCTATGGTCAACTCATCTTCGACAAAGCAGAAAAGAATGTCCCATGGAAAAAAGTCTGTTCAACAAATGGTGTTGAGAAAACTGGACAGCCACATGCAGAAGAATGAAACTGGACCATTTCCTTACACCACACACAAAAATAGACTCAAAATGGGTGAAAGACCTAAATGTGAGATAGGAGTTCATCAAAATCCTAAAGGAGAACACAGGCAGCAACCTCTTCGACCTCAGCCGCAGCCACTTCTTCCTAGAAACATCGCCAAAGGCAAGGGAAGCAAGGGCAAAAAGGAACTATTGGGACTTCATCAAGATAAAAAGCTTTTGCACAGCAAAAGAAACAGTCAACAAAACCAAAAGACAACCGACAGAATGGGAGAAGATATTTGCAAATGACATATCAGATAAAGGGCTAGTACCCAAAATCTTTAGAACTTATCAAACTCAACACCCAAAGAACAAATGATCCAATCAAGGAATGGTATTACCCACTTTCAAAGAATGGTTACCACCCCACAAAGGTGCTCATCTCAGTTTGCCACCCTGCATTCCCTAACATGATTATTTGGTTAAAGCATATCTTTCCTATTATAGCTAGGTGTGGCTTTTTTTTTAATTATTTTATTTTATTTTATTTTATTTTATTTTATTTTATTCTTATGTTAATCCCCATACATTACATCATTAGTTTTAGATGAAGTGTTCCATGATTCATTGTTTGTGCATAACACCCAGTGCTCCATGCAGAATGTGCCCTCCTCAATACCCACCACCAGGCTAACCCATCCTCCCACCCCCCTCCCCTCTAGAACCCTCAGTTTGTTTTTCAGAGTCTATCGTCTCTCATGGTTCGTCTACCCCTCCGATTTCCCCCCCCTTCATTCTTCCCCTCCCACTACCTTCTTCTTCTTCTTTTTTTTTTTCTTAACATATATTGCATTATTTGTTTCAGAGGTACAGATCACTAGGTGTGGCTTTTGCTCACCCTTTTAATACTACCTAGAAGCTTAGGGCCTGGCATATAATAGGTGCTCAGCAAATATTTGTTAAAAAACTGAATACTGAGAAAGGAATAGTAAGATCAATATCTATTTCGCTATTTCACCTAGTTCCCGTCACACTATAGATTTTCAGGGAGAGCTAACATCATCTATATCATACTTCAGGGATCTTAAAGAGTAATGTCCAATTTGGTTACTTTTTAATATCATCAAGGAAGTCCCATAGTTGTTTTTAACGTAAAAAACAAGGTGATACAACCTGAAAAATAAACATCTGTGTACTGAAATTCCTATTTCTCTTAAATAGACATCCAGACATATTCCATAGGTTATCAAGGTTTTCTGTCATCAGGAAAAGGAAAAAAAAATTCCATAGATAGAAGGCCTTGTTGGAGAAGATGGATTTCCTTGCTCAAATCAGAGGAGAGCAGACTCAATGCCAGTCGCTGAGAGGATTCATGAAAATTTCCCTAGTAAAATGTGACGACTGGAAATGGAACTGAGAACAAGGAAACTTGCAGAGGGAGGAATTGCAGTGGGAAAACAGCCACGTTATGTGGGGCAAAGAGTATCTGAGCTTCCTCTACCTCATAAAAGTATGATGTTTAAAATAAAAGCATTATAATGACATAAACATACCACACACACATAAAAACCCTGATAGATTTTTCCTTAGGGCTAATCTGATAGAAAGCGTTCAGAATGAAAGACGCTACAATTGGTAAGCATCATCTTCATGCTAAATCTAATAATTGCTAAATCCAATCCTTGCAGTTAAGGAATGATATGATTCCTCTGCAAGCAGATTTGTAGCTAAGGAAATGTGACATTTCAGTGGACTGCAGTTTTTATCACAAACTTATACACCGTGTTTTCTCCAAAAGTACCTTATGCTTATGT